GTGCAGCATTCCATAATACACCATAGTAACTCACACATAAACACTTCTGCACATTTCCCTGTAGCCTTTCCTAAGTTTAAATACCGTTTTAAGTGAAATTTTCAAAGGAGTTCTCTTTTACCTTAGTAATACTCATGTTATATTGTCTGAAAATACCTCTTTATTTTGGATTTCAAATCTTCAAAGACTATTAAGTAATTAGGACATAAGATCATAGAAGAAATATATTAAGAGGTCATGCTAATAACTCAACATTTCAAGCTTCAAAGGTTAAACTCTATTAAAGCTCCAATTCTTGGGCTACTATCAGTTTTACCTCTTTACACCTTAACACCACTTCTTTTTTTCTTGCACTCTCTTCCAACTTAAATAAGTACCCCTACAGATTAAAATATTCCATATATGATAAAAATAAGCTGTACTTTTAGAAGAAAAAATCTTCCTGGTAAGAGACCTGGTTCTCATAAAGAAAGTAATGTGTAACTTGGGGAATGGTTCTTGAAAAGCCTGCCTTGCTAAGCTTGCTAAGAATCACCAGGGAGCCAGGTGTAGTGGCTCATGTCTGTAATCTCAGCACTAGGGAGGCTGAGGCAGAAGGATCACTGAGTTTGAGGCCAGCCTGGGCTACACAATGAATTCAAGGACAGTCTGAGCTTCTGAACTACAGAGTGAGAGTCTGTCTCAAACAAAAAGAAAAGCAAACGAAACCCCCAAAACAAATATCACCAGGGAGCTTACAAAAATTCAGGGCTTGTGAGGATTATAACTCCACAGGGCTAGGGCATCAGAGGGACCCTACATATGGCTAGGTGATTTCCTCAACATTATCAGTGTGAGGGACTTCAGTGATTATCCACACACTGTAGTACTAAAAAAAAATATGAAAACAAGTAAAAGCTTTTCTCCGGTTATTAGGAAAAAATAGGAAACAAAAAGTAAATTATAAGCAATCTCTGAACTTCAGTTTCATCCTATGTAAAATGTGGTAACATTTACTTCAAATTATTATTGTGAGATAAATATTTTTAAAAAGAGAGACTTTTCTGTTACAGATGAAGGAAATCTAGTCTAGGATTACTTACCAATGAATAGCAAAGTCTGGTTTCTTTGTGTTGTTATAACAAAATATCACACACTAAGTAATTTATAAATGGAAATTTGTTTCTCAGAGTTATGAAGGTTGCAAAGTCCATGATTTTAGGGACCAATGGTTTCCTGTCTAGTCTCTTCTCCAATATGGCACCGTTGCTGAGCCCGCCCGATGAGATGAACAATGGCCTAACGTGGGGGGACAGAAGAACAAAAAAAGGCCCAAGCTAGTTGTTATGGTTTGTCTGTCTGTCCCCCCAAAGCCTCCTGCGGCCATGGGGCAGGTTTTTAGAGTTGATTGATTGTGGGTGTGAGAGCTACACCCGCCTTGGGGTGGATAGTTTGCATATGTAAGGGAGAGGAAAAGAGCTGCTTGAGGACATTCCTCCCCCATTCTTCGCTGGTGTGTGCTGGTTGCTTAGCTGTGTTCTGCCGCCCTGAGCTGTAGCTCTCTGCCATGTGCCAGTCTGCCTTATAATCTGCCAAGTATGGACTAAAACCTCCACAAACTGTAAGCGAAATAAACCTTTTCTTCCTTAATTTTGGGCATCAGGTATTTTGTCCCAGCAACGAGAGAAAAGTAACCAAGACACTAGTCCTTTCTAGCACTTTCACAAAAGCACTAATCCATCTATGAGAACAGAGCCATCATGACATAATCAGATGTCACACAACCCCACCTCTTGATAGCATTACAATGGGATTCAAACCATAGCACCAAGATAGGAACCAAACTCTTCTAAGGCCAGTAGGCATTCTACTATATGTGAAGGTCTCAAAAAGTGGTCCAGAACCTTCTGAGTGTTCTTGAAAACCATTCAGGGCTCTATGAAATAGAAACTAATTTCATAATATTGAACATCAGTTGTCTTTTTAACTCTAGGTTTCTCATGAGTGTACAGTGAAATTTCCAAATACTACAAGATGCAGGATGAAATCTCTCTAAATGCTAAGGAAATGTGTGCTGTGTATCATTATGTTTTCTAGAATTTTTTGCTTCCGATAATCTATTAGGGTGTCAATGAAAAAACATTTTTCATAATAATATTAAATAAAAACATTATTTAACCTTTTCATAGTGCTGATATTTGCACCACTGATGCAAAAGAAAGTGGAAAATTGGAAACAGTGAAAGGAGTAAGAGAGGTGGGGGCAAGACTGCTACCTTGGCACTGATCAAGGCAAGGCTACCAAACTGTAAGACAATCACTGCATTTATCACTGTCATGTACTTGGAGCAAAAAATATATATAATGTCAGTAAATTAAAATGTAAAGTATTAATCTTAAGGTTATGTTTGCTTTTCCTGTAACTGTGACACAATACCTGAGAGAAACAATTTATAGAGAAAAGGTCTATTTTCACTTATGGTTTCAGGGCCTATTATGGGACAGAACATCATGGCAGGGAGCATCTGGTAGCCAGGAAGAGAAAGGAGACAAACACAAACACGCACACACGGGGTTGGAACCAAATACTGTCAAGGTAGGCACCAAGCCTTTAACACCTGAGATTCGGTGAGACATTTCAGATCCAAATCACAACAGTACTTATTTTTTTAATAGTTGGTGTAAAAAATGGGAAGTACACACAACATACTTCTCTACAAACTGAATTACTGTGTTCGTCTCCAAGAAAAGCACTTGTGAGAAGTCTGAGTTGTAAGCGCAACTAGATAACTGGTGTTTTTTTTTTTTTTTTTTTTCATGAAACACCGTTTTTACCAGAAGCAACTAATAACAGATACACTAATTTTGTTCAAACCTAAGTATTGGCAGCCATGTGAAGGAAGAAGAACTGACTCTGCACCTCAAGAAAAAATAACTTACAGTATTTGCTGCTAGTAACAACATTAGAATTTTCATGCAGAAATTCTAATTTTAAAAGCTCAGATCTGCCACCAAGCACCTGACAGCTTTCCAACACTTAAAGCCTTTTTTTATGAGATTGCTGGGGATATGAATATAGTTGTTTGAAACTGAATAATGAAAAATACAGCATTAACATTTGAAAGACCTAGTTAACTGAATAAGATCAGTATTTTCCAAATGATCAACGCATTACAAAATCATCCATACGAAAATGTACATTCAAGGTACAATCAAATCAATTTTAATGTAACATGAAATACTCATTAGAATTTTGATTCTAAAGAGCAAATAAGCTTTTAAAAATATGTCTTTTGTGGGTTTTTTTTTT